GGTAAAATGATTAAAAAATAGATTAGCATTAATGAATACCTTATGGAAATATCAAGTGTAAGCTCTCACCGTAACTTGAGGATTTTCAGCAGACATTGTACAAATTTTGTTCGGTAGAGGCAAACCTGTATCGAAAAGTAGGGTGAGAAATAAACAATTCTAAACGACAGTGCTGGAGGAGCACAGTGCCTCAACTTCAGTCACCTACATGTTTTAATATTTACATATTAAGTCGATTATACATAGATAGAAAGAGAGAGATAGAGATGGCGGGGGGAGAGAGAATGAGATGTAGATAGTGTTGAAAAAAGAATCAAAATTGCATAGAGAGTTTCAGTTTTGAACATTAATGGGTTATTCAACATCCCAGTGCGAATTTTTAAAAAGATAGATATGCATGTAATATTGTATTTCATTACTTAATGCATCTGCACCTGATATTTATAATCGTAGTCGTTAGCACATATTCACTTATGTCTGAAATCCTACTATTTCTTGCCTGCCTTATGTACACTTTCTGAGCTAACATGTTGTTTTCGCTTATTATGTGAATGTCTATTGTCAATGTCTTTATATCGTTGAGAACTCAATGATAACAAATGGTATCCTATTTCCAACATCTTTCCTGTCCTGGGTATGACGATAAACTGCATCCTCATCCTGGGTAAGACGATGAACTACGTATAACAGTAGGCTTCTCATCAGGAGCTATTGAGGAGCGTGGAACCACCTCTTAATTGCTGGTGTTCCCAGGTCCACCCTGATCCAGAGTGGTAGCACTTGTTAGGGTCCCAGCTATGGGCAAATATTTGACTCCACAAGCTGACTCGAAACGCTATGAAAATGTAAAAAAATGATTTTAATACCAGAAATACTTTGTAAATAAAAATAGTAACAGCAATAAATTTTTGAAAAAAAGAAAATATTACCAGCAATAAAAATCTTGTCAGCATTAAATAACCCATTGAGGTTAATATGCTACGAAGCAAAACAAACCAAACTATATATTTTTGGAGAAAAAAATATTACCAGCTATATATTTTTTTGAAAAAAGGATATTACCAACTATACATTTCTGAAAAAATTACCAGCTATATATTTTTGAAAAAAAAAAAGGAAATTTTGTCGGGATTAAATAATTCATTGCGGTTGATATGACGTAAAACAAAACAAACAAAAAAGTCAAAATCTTTGTCTGAATCAAAGCTGTTCACAGAAACTTTGTATTCTGTGCAATCTAAATGCTCATCTTCCATCTAATATAATCTCTTTTCCAGTTGCCTTGGAAAAGTTCCAAATGCATGCTCTATTATGAGCACGATAATATCCTACATACTTCATATTACGGTATCTTGAACATTTCCTCGGTCGTCTTTCCACCGCAGCAAAATCAATGTTCTGTCAGGTTCTTTTATTTTTTCTTCGTGATCATGAATTCATGTGTACATTCTAAGGTTAAACGATCACGTTGAGTTTCAAAACCGCTGAACATTTTGTTTTAGAGTTCCTGAAATCATTTTTCAATATGGGCGAACCAAAGGCGTTTCAATAGTTCTTAGTGCATTACTGTTGCTACAATGTAAATATTCTATTTTATTCACTGATGATGTGAATTGACATATCATTTTTTCCTTTGTTTCCGAAATTTGTCAATCTGTATTTTGATGATGCATAATATATATTAAAGGCAAATGATACTGGACAATGCTGCGGCCCCCTACCTGACCAAATTTCGGAATGAGGGAGATATATGGCTAAAGACAAATGTCACTAAAAGATAAAAGGATAGGAAGTTGTGGTTAGCCATGAGCGCCAACGTCTTGAAGAGACACAACATATACAACAACAAGAAGACTTTGATAGACTTTGTGCTGATGCTCCTGTTAAGATTGCGATAAAAGTATTTTTTTTCTTTTCAGGTGACCTCTGCATAGCGTTGTTCATAATTTTGTCCGAATTATTTTAACTCTAACATTCAATTTCTACTTGCAGCATTTTCATTTTCTATGGCGATTGAGTGAGAGTGAAGCACGACAACAAAGATATACCACAAGGAGAAAAATGGAAAAAAAATGTCTATGTCCAAACGCTGCATGACTTGAGAAATTACACCAGACTTCTGAAAGACATTTTACCAGTAAAACTGATTTTCCCCAATAGCATTGATCGTTGTAGAAAGTCATCTATTAATGTTTTATATTTGTACGCGTTTCATAATCTGAAATTGAAAACGATAGGCATACTGTCGAAATTAACTTGAAGACTACAGGCATAGTTCTAAAATATTGTTAAAGACTGTCTTTACTTTTCTTCTGCTTGCTTAAATCACGCTCTTCTGCAAGTTTTGCAAAATATTGGATGAGTTTTATTTATTATTATTATTATTATTATTATTATTATTATTATTATTATTATTATTATTATTATCTTTGATTTCTGGCGTTTCCACATTTCTTTCCGGGTCCCGCCCAGGGGCCTAAGGTTAGAAATGGCGTCATGA